CTCACAGATCACTTTGTCTCGAGCATCCAGCTTTTCCATCAGGTTGTTAGGCTTTGGAGCTTTCTCTTTTTTCATCCTGACATCTTGTTCAGCATGTGCCTGTTCCTCTTCCATAACTGTGGCCACTTTGGCTATTTTTGGTCGAGTGGTTGAGAACTTGGTTTTTCTTTCTAGCTCAAGACTATACGACATGTTAATTTTCTCCAACAGCACTTCATCTTCCACCCGTGGGTTTTCCAGGTAGGGTTTTAGATCTGTTCGTACGCTGTCATCATGAAGGCCAGTCAGAACTGTCTGCAAAAACTGATTCTGGATTAGTTCGTGATTATATCTTAATCCTGCCTTTACATTTTCAGATGCTGATAAAACCCTCTGCCTGAGATCCATGGCTCGAACTAAGAACTGGATCGGCGTTTCTTTGGGTTCTTGAACTGCACGTGTGAGTGAGTGATACAATTCAGTTGCATCCTTTTCAATAAAATGTGCTCTGAGAATTTGCTTGAGAGCAGGCAATGTTAAGTCTGTCCTACTCTCCAGGTAACTTCTCAAACTGACCCCTGGGATGATGGCTTGAATGACTGCCTCAACGATTTCTCCCTCATCATAACCCTTTTTGCAGGCCCTGTGAATCTGTCTGTCCAGGCTGGTGAAGTTTAATTTGTCCCTCTGGCCCGGTTCACCTATTTGCCCAATTATTTTGAGTTCTTTTTTATACACTGGATGCACTAGCGTGACATTTTCTCCTGAAACTGATTAATTTTGCAGTTTTCTGTCTGTTCTGGCATACAGTGATTGTGTTGCAGTGTTTTCCACAGGTTTTTCTGATGCAATTCCACTAACGCCCACAGAGTGGCGCTCCAAGTCAACTTTTCGCTGCACCTCGTTGGTTGCTTCAACCCCTACACTAGATGAGCTCTCGGTTTCCTCTTCGTCAACACTTCTCAAACTTTCAATCTTTTCCTTTGTCTCTAACAACATAGACAGTCCTTCATCTTCGAGTGAAACAACATCATCTCCCTCTAAATGCTGCAGAATACGTCTTCTCAGCGCGCGAGGCGTGTGTGTCTCATCCTCCCCCACATTTAGCATTAACATTTCACACAAACTTCTCAGTTGCAAAGCAGATAACTCGAGTAATTTACTCTCTATTTCATCCAGCGTAGCTTCCCACACAGGCAACATTATGACCACTCACTGAACAGATTAACTTAACTCACGTTTGCAGATTGCAGTTATTTTTCCGCCGTTTCAAAGTCAACTCTCCGTGAATCGCGGCTCGTTCTCAGCTCGCGCTGCACTCGCGGCTCGTTTCATCACTTGCTGCTTTCTTCTTCCCGAAATCCGTCACAACCGAGCAGAAACACCAATTTTATGTTGCCCCCTTGGACAATAACGACGACAATCAGTTCTTTTCTGTAGATTTATTTGCTCCGGTTGTTTTCTCTTTTGTTTCTGTGACAGATTTTTGAGCTCAATTTTTACATGAACAACAACATGCGTGAACTGCGCTTTTTTTTACACTTCTTCTCTCTCTTTTTCGAACCGGTCTTCTCAACCCACAGCGCCCCCAACAGTATACATATTTTCTGAGGCTTTCTACATTTATACTGTTAACATTATATTAGTACAGATTATGTACAATAAACAAAAAAAACAAATTTAACAATTATTTGCGGTCATTACATAACCACCACTGTTGATTAATGGGTACATAACTCAAGATATGTATATCATTTTAAAATGTCTCAAACATGGTCTTAAAACCAGTTTTACACATTTCTGGTAGTGGCGGGGGGGGGGGGGGGGGGGTGTTTCCGCAATCCTATCTAGTTGCTAATTTTGCGTTAGCAAATAGCTATCTGCTATCTGTATATTCCAATATTGCAAATATTCTAACAAAGATTGTACTCTTTAAATGTATTAAATTATATTAGCATCATGCTTTTACCCATTTACACAAACTTTTAACACACTTTAAATAATGTACTTTAGTATATTTTCTAAAAAATATATTTAATCAAGCATACTTTTAACATATTTCTTACAAGTGCAAAGTACATTGGTAATAAATATATGCTTGTGTAACGGATGTGATAAAAGATGTTGATAATTAATGGAAAACCATTTTGAGTGCTTTACGGGTACACATGTGTAAATGTGTGACAAGAGAAAATGAGAGTGAAATGGTGTATAGAACATGCCGTAGGGTTTCAGAGGTATTATTGATTTATGTATTTTCATACTGGGGATATTTTAAAGTATACACAATGGGGTGTGGGAATATTTTGCTTATGTGTGTAACCTAAAAGTGACATTTATGTGAATCTTTCTTGGTTTGTTTTGTGTTTTTTCTTCTATGCATATAATACACTCACCAAAAGGATTATTAGGAACACCTGTTCAGTTTCTCATTAATGCCAATATCTAATCAATCGGTGTGTGTGTCCCTTCACCACTGGAGGAGGTTGAACCCAAATGCAGAGGATTAAACGACAGTCAAACGTCAAAAGTCTGAGTTTAATATTTTGCTCTTTGCTTCCGATGGAATAAACAAAAACAACAAGAAGTCGTAGTTTACACTTTAAGTGAATGTGTTACAAGAAAACTCAAACAAAGTTCTTGAGTGGCAATACAAAAAAGGGTAATCCAGACAGAAGATATATCTTCTTAAACATCAGTCCAGAGAGGCAAAACCAGAAAACCACAAAAAGGGTTACAAAAACATACTTTCCCAGAGCAAAACAGAAGGCCACTTCTCAAATCCAAAAATTCTTAGAAATGACAACACTTTGCGTGACATCAGGACTGAACAAGAACAAAAATGCAGTGAAACCTTAAATAGGGTTTATCAACACAGGTGAGATATGACAACCATTAATCCAAGATAACATAATCTGGGAAGGAATAATGTCATCTAGTGGTGAAATCAAGCAACTTCAGACAAAACATTACACACATCTCTTCCAGCTCTTGTATTTGTAAATTCTGGCAGGTTAGACAGTAATTGCACAGTTTGCCTCAAATGGATTCATTAAGGTTGATAAAGAGAAAAAGAAAAACAGAAAAGGAAAGGAGACATCATTACCTCTGATTATAATTTCAAATGTGAACAGAGACACTGAAAAAGTAAGCAGCAAAAAAACAATGGTGTTTTTATAGGGGATGTCCCATAAAATGGTTTGATATGAGTTGTGCTGTATGGCAGTGGTTCCCAACCTTTTTTTTGTCTGTGACCCCCTTTTTCCCAAGAAAATATTTTAGGGCCCCCCTTTACATTTAATGATATTATCACTCTTTAAGCTTGCAGCAAGGATAACAAAAATGTTTTTTTTTTTTCCCAAACAAACGTTATGTTTATGCACAAATAATAGCCTATAATATTGAAAATACAATGACTAAAACATCAGTAGGCCCTTTGTAATTTAACAACGTAAGCCTATAGGAGAAGCCTATTAATTGGCCATATTTGAAAAGCAAAAATAAAAATATTCACACTGGTGTTTAGGTTAAAAAAAGAATATCTGCTATTAGACTGTTATCTGGGGCCTCAATACTTGCATGTTATCTGTGAGGCTTTATCAATGTGAGGCTTTATTTTTACGCTTTTGGCGCTATAGCGAGCGATAATAAACTTGCATTTATTAACAGAATAATGTGTCTTTCGGAAAGAACAGTGTAGCCGGAACTACTTCTCTCTGTCTATGACGAGTCACGCAGGTACTGTAGTACTCCGCAGCGGCAGCGATCCGAACCAGTGTAAAATAGTCCCAATGTAAACACTTATTATAGGTGTACCATAGTGGTTCAGGATCAGGATAAGACAAAAACACGGATTGGAAAATTGATTCATGATGAACTCACTCATTATATACATTTTGGAAATTTTGAACAGAAAAAAGTTAAGGACTTTTATTTAATGCTCATTGCTCAAAACTTCAAAATATGCCGCGACCCCCCACAGAGCTCGCTGAGGCCCCCTTGTGGGCCGCGACCCCCCTGTTGGGAACCGATGCTGTATGGGACGTCCCGTATTGAAACTGACTATTAGTTTTTTCTATTTATTAGAAAAGAGGTCTGTATAGGTGTACAAATAGGAATAATGTGACTCATCTCCAAAAAGCTGCAGTAAAATGGTTGGATGAGCTAATTATCCGAACTGGCCATTCATTATTTCTACTTATTAGAAATGTGGTCTTTATAGGCCTCTGAAGTCAGCTAGAGCGATGTATCTCCTAAAAGCTGCAGTAAAATGGTTTGATATGAGGTGCATACTGTGTGGGACATTGAATTCCAGTAACCTTTAATATTGTAAAAAAAAAAAAATATATATATATATAATTATAATATATATGAAAAAAGACGTATTTAGAAAGAGTGTATATTTTACTGCTTTTTGCAAATATTTATGCTGTAAACCTCTACATAAACATTCTTGAGATCTACGAAGAAAAAAATACACAACTTGCAAAGACAACAAGTGTAAATTAAAAGGATAACAGTACAAAAACTTTCAAAACATGGCATCTTATATCGTCTCTCACAGAGGTATAGATTGATGGATAGAAAGATAGAGAGAATGAAAGAAGGAAATATGAGATAGAATGAAAGAAATATTAGAAAGATATATAAATATTATTATTAAATATAAATATTATAAAATAAGTAAAGAGATAGAAAGAAAGAAAGATACAGAGATAGAAAGAAAGAAAGATTGGTTAGAAAGAATAGATGATATATAGATGATAGCCTACATGATATATACACTTTTGAACATTAGGCCTATGATATAAATGCGGGAGAGAGAAAAACATGTTGAATATTATTATCAATATCAGCCTTTCACGTTTTGCATTTTATTTTTTACGTTTTTACATTTCACGTTTTACATTATTTTGGAGAGATGATCCTTCACCGTTTGTCTACATGTGTGAGGAGAAATATCGAGAACAAAATAACGACACTAGCATTCTGGGCTGTCTTATAAAAAGGAAGGAAGTTCAGGAGAGGCGTGTCCACACACTGACTACTTTCGATCTCTACTGTAGAAATGAATGTTAGCCTACTAATAAATATTCGTGACTAGCTTGATATCTTCACCGTGAACACTGTCGACTTCACAGAAGGTAAGAACAAGACTAAACCGTAACTTAGGCGCCATTCACACAGCGCGGAAACACACCGCTTTTAAAAAGCCAGGCGCGCCGCATTCTCCTTTTCCCAAAGCGCCAGGCATGGCGCCAGGGCGGTTGCGCTCATAGACATATACACAGACATATACAGTGTACATATTCAGTGAATATGTCTATGGGTTGCGCTCCGGGGGCGTCTGTCGTTGCTGGGGTTGGTTCTTGTCACGTGACCTACGGTGCGCTTCCAGTAGCACCTCAATGCAGCAATCTGAAAAGTTGAGATGTTTGGGGGTTTTAATAATCTAAACATTAAAATATGTAAAAAGTCCAATTTGTTAACAATGATATATTAGCTAGTTTACATGAACTATGTGCATTATTATGCAATATACATTTTTACAGCATGTTTTAATATTTGAGCAATACAATTGCACCTTGATCATTCATGTTAGTTCATATAGTGTATTAACTATGGTTAATTATTGTAATATGGGATTTTATTGTAAGTGTTATCATTTCATATAAATCCACCGTCATGCTGAAAGATGGCTAACTTTAAATATCTACAATGCCACAGAATGGGCTCTATGCACGGCGGTATTTCCGGTGAAGGTGTATGCTCGAAAACTTCCGCAGATCGTAGAGTCCAATGCAATACCGAGAATTTATATTGAATTTTATACTCCATGGTTATACTAAAGAAACGTTAGTCACAAAAACAGATAAAACAGACAGCCCTCGTTGTGTTTATGCTTCTTTTTAAAATTATATTAAATAAACATAACTAGCCTATATATAAAATTACATCTAAACGTATGTACGTTTCGTTTCAAAGACGGGAGGACAGTACATTTTGAAGATTCTGCCATAATCCCGTTTTCCTCGGTTTTCCTCCGCTTTAATCAAGTATGCCCCTAACCAATGAGAAGCATTGTGGGCGGGGCTACACGTGTACCCCCGCCCCAGGTGTAGCCCCACCCCGATCTGCAGGCTGCAGCCAGGTGCTTCTCGATTCGTCTATAGCCCATTGAAATTACATAAATGTTACGTTACTATTATAACAGTTTGAACTTGATGATTATCTAAATGCAACAAAAGTGATGATCTGGATATAAACTAATGCAAATAGATGGTAACAGTTGTGAAATTCAATATTTGAGTCAGACTTGCGTTTATTTTTGTTAGTGTTTTAACCGCTGGGTTCTGGTCAGGGACTGGAGCTGGCACTCTATATCTCTATATCTCTATCCATTATCATGTCATGACAGAACTACACAATATGAAATTTGACAATACGAGTCAAAAGCAGAAGTTGACTGATTCATTTATGTAGTATCAGAGAAAATTCCAATGTCTCTACAATTTTGTTTTCTGACTGTATATTCACTAAAGGCCAAATTTAGGCTGTGCATGTTAGATTAATGTTTGTACATGCCACTTAATTTACTGAATACCAATATTGTTATCTTAACCATGGGTCACAAAAGCTCTCTTCGACCATCTCACACTATCTGCATTGTGTTTCATTTCTTAGAGGACAACTTAAGACAGCTCTCTACAACACGTCATAGACACTTATGAGACACCATGGACCAAGACTCAGAGCGTAAGTAGTTACCACAGTAAAAGCAGAGATAGTCGAATGAAAGATAATCTGCTTTACCCTGATTAAAAGTGAAGTGGCTCAAATAAGTACTTGCTACACTATATAATATACCGCTCTTAAATCTAATGAAATCGCGTTCTTCCTTGAGCAGTTCTCATGTTATTATCTCTCTACCAGGTGCTCGGTTTGTGGACGACCACTTTGATGATCTTGTCCAGAGAGTACAGATGGTGATGAAGATAGCGGATGAGCTGAAGGCCCGTGGCATGCTGCAATATGAGCCGTACTGTAAGATCAAAGCAGAAAAAACTAACCAGGAGAAAATGAGAGAGTTATATGAAGTGTTGAACTCTGGAGGAGACGAGGTTAAATCTGCCTTTTATTCTTGCCTGGAAAAGAATGAGCCACTTCTGTTAAGAGACTTGGGTAAGTCATTTAGGCTTTTATACCACATGTGTCTAGACCTACAGTATGTACTGAGATATGTACTATTAAAATATGTACTTTTACAGTTATTGCTCAAATTGCAGAAGCTCTTGTAGAAACCTTAAATATTTTGTCTTAAATTTATTTTAGTCTTGTTAACTTATTTCTATCAGGACCACTATCATCAAATACGATTGATAATTAGCATATAGTTTAGATTAGCTGTCTGGTTCTGTTCTGTGCAGCCTATCATGATAAGAGCAGGAGAGCAACAATAACCCCCTTTAGGGTAAACAGAACAGAAACAACATGAATGAATAGTGAATACAATCATTAATGTCAATATTTTAATGTACAACATAATTCGAGAATTTAGTCTGACTCAAAGGGGAATCAGAATGTCAAACCCTGATTGATGAGAGGAGGAGCTGGAGATGGAGGAGGGTAATTCGCTCCTGATAAGCGCAATAGCTGCTGATAATACTGAAGGATCTTATATATTTATACTACAGATGCACCGATTACAATTTTCTAGGCCGATTTCAATTTTCATTGAGTTTGACCTGCCGGTATTTATACACCATATACCGGTTTTATAAAAGTAACACCATATACTTTTACTCAAACTCAATAATACAAACAAGTTTAAATGGGTACATTTTCTTTTCTGACATAGCCTACTCTCCAGTTCTTGTTAAAACATATGACATGCAAATTCTGTGCATTTTGAGCATTTTTAAATCCTTTTTTCATCAAAGGTGTGCTTTCACTTTAATTGAGCGCTAGCAACGCAGCAAAAAAATACAGGTTACACAGAGCAGAAACCGCTTCACTGCTCACGCGACGCTCCTGCTTGACGCTCGCGCTGCTCCTGCTCCCGGTGTGAATGCACTCATTGATTTACATGCAAGCCGGAAAAAATCTGCGCCGCTCACGCTTGTGGTGTAAATAAGGGATGAAACGGCCGTAATTCACGAGGTTTCCTACATGTGTGTGCACGTGTGATGTTCCGGTCAATCGGTGCATCTCTAATTTATACAGTGATGGGCATCATATTCATATAGGTAGATGTGGATCAGCTGAGAGTTTGACAGTCTTTCAAACTGGAAGTAGAAAATTGCTAAAAAAAAATAAAAATAAATATAGCTGCGAGCAGCGATGGCGGGCCCAAGCCGGTGGCACCGCAACCCCGGTTCCTTTAGTTACCTAAATGCACCCGGGTGGCGGTGCCGAAGGCTTTGGCCCTTTTATGATTAAATGTTAAAACGGCTTGCCATACTCTGTCATTTCGACTAGTCACAATTATGTTACAGATATCTTAAATGATAATACAAACTATCCAAAATGTAATTACGAATAGACAGAAAGACGTTGTTGATATCTACAATGTTAATTCCGGACAGGCAAACTTAGCTTTTAAATGTTAAAAGGGCTTGCCATACAGGGATGTAGGCTCAGAGAGAGGCTCACCATATTCAAACCAAAATATCTGACTTCCTCTTGGTCCGAGCTAATGACTATGTATTAGAAAGTTGTCCGGCTTGAGGAGTACAATGTATATAGCGATTTTTGTAACTGTAGATAAAACTAACAACCCCACTTTTGTCAAAAGGTGGCGCTATTTAGTCCTTGCACTATGCCCGTTTCTGAAACGTTGCACATGTCTACTGGCTAATAAATGTGATGTATCTGTTGAGTTTCAAGCAATTTCAATTTCAATTTCAATTTGACTGTTGAAAAGAAGTGCGCCGATTAGATACTCAGGATCGGTATCGGCTCTGACACTGCCATCTTTGACGAGGCTGATTCAAATTCTATATTGTGCATATATACTATTCTATGTTAGGCACAAAGGCACAAAAACTTTCTAAAGTACCATAAAGTTTTTGTGTACTGTATTATTAGTGTTCTGAAGCTATTATGTGATATAGAAATTAATATTTAAGTCATTAAATTCAAGAACACAAACTTTTCCCTCTCTGCGCCTGTCAGTCATTCTCCATTCAGCATTCAAACAGCACGTCACATTCGGTTACAGTCAATGATGAAACGATCTTCAAGATGATTGAATGTTAATCCTATTATACTGGATCTTTAAGATAAAGGTCTAAATGTCTATATTTTCGAATGAAGAAACTTTTTCTTGCTGGACTTTATTGCTGTAACTTAACCGTGTTACTTTCTACCGGGTGTCAGACGCTGTCGGTTAGATCACAACACTAGAGTCAGAGCACTATAATTGTTCTTCACGCACACAGTAACTGAAATTTAAAACCTTTAAAAGAGAAGGCTCAATAAACTATTGCATAGATAGATAATGTATAATACACTGTTCATAAATATGTATTTCCTTTGTGCTTTGAACTTTTCAATACGGATTCACTGCGCTGTAACTTCATGTGGCTTCAAGCACATCATTCTCCGCTCGGGATGCACATAAGTGCTTTGTGCTGCACCGTATCGGAGCCGTAATATCATAATGCAGTGACGTAATGACAGATTATTAATTGCCTTTCAATTATATGTTGCTGCGTCATTAAACATCTGTCCTATGCATTTCAAACATTTATAGCAGCCATGGCTATATTTTTTTTATGATTTTTGTTATCTTGTTTTTCATGAATGTATTTTTCAAAAATAAGAGCAATGTGTATTATCTATTATTAATATGGTTTATAATAGCATTTTTGTCATAGATTATGACAAAGTAATCATATGATCCACCAGCGAGGAACCAGCAGAACAGAGTGAACATTCTTTCTGTTTAGTTCAATCCTACTTAATAGGAATTTATTTAAAATGCTCGCTCTACTCCACACCATTAATGTCTTGTGCGGACATCCGTATTTCGACTTTCGATTTTAAGTAAGCGATTTAAAAGCTCCCAAGTCCCAGCGGAGTCACACGTTGATTAACCGGTGGGAATATACACAATAGGCCTACCTGATATTGAACACAAGAGGGCAGTATAGCACTACGTATGACTCAGATTATTATTTTTTTATGAATTTTACAACAATTATGGCTGTTTTTGAACGTAAACATAATTCTTAAATGAAAAAAAGGAAAAATTGGGGAAGTTATAATATTTGTATAATTTAATTTAGAAACAAATGATGTATAATTACATTTTTAGAAGATATGAGGCTTTTAGTGTTTACTTTTTTGACATTACTTTAATCTTTTGCCATAGTTGCACATGTCTACTGGCTAATAAATGTGATGTATCTGTTGAGTTTCAAGCAATTTCAAGCATGCTAAGAGTCCCAAAAGCATCAAAAAAGAATGTTAAAGTTCGATTCGTTGCCACGGCAACAGTATCAAAGATATCAAAAATTCATTCACAGGTCTACATCTGCCGTGTATTTACATTATACAGATGAAGTTTGAAGCAAATCGGTTAAAAATAAGAGATTGGTTTCAAAGCATTTTGAAAGTGACACACTTCCTGCTGCCAGTTGGTGGCGCTATAATTTTGACTCACAATAGTCACATCCATGTGATCGGTCTCTTACAGCGAAAACACTGCTGAAGTTTCATCAAGATCAGTTAATGTATGCTGAAGTTATAACACACATCCTGTTTCATGTTTCTCGCCATAATTTCGTTTCCTCGCCACGGCCAAACCGTTCGAGATATCAAAAATTCCTTGGCACCTTTTCATTCTTAATGTCTTGACTTCACGCTGATCGAGTTTTGTCGAATTTGGTTCAGTGCTCTAGGAGCAATACTTTAAATTCCATTGCATGTGTTTTAAACACAACCCTAAATAGCCGTCTTCCTGTTGGGCTGGGGTAAAAAGTAAGAGTGTGAAGTAGGCTATATATGAAACGATGAGATCTATATGTGTACCAAGTTTCATATTATTACATGCAAGTGTGTTTGATTTATGGACCAAATTTTCAGACCAAGTTTATTGACCAAGTTAATCTGATTAATAAACTAATTATATAAAACTATTGTCAATGCACTACAATTAAACTAGTTATATGTCTTTACTTATAAAAAATAAAAATAAAAACTTATTTAAAAAATACCAGGCTTGAGAAATGTATTTTCTTTATGCAGGTCATACACACAGCAGTGAAATGGTTAAGCCCCCTCCCCCTGCACACTCACACACACACAGACAGCCAGCCAGCCAGCCAAAGACACAGAGACATGTAGGCTCAGAGTGACCATATTCAAACAAAAATATCTGAGTTTCTGTGGGTCCTAGCTAATAAGTGTAAATTAGAAAGTTGTCCGGCTCGAGGAGTACAATATACATACCAATTTTTGTAACTCTAGTTAAAACTAACAACCCCACTTTTGTCAAAAGGTGGCGCTACTGAGCCCTCACCACGCCCGTTTCTGAAACTTTGCACATGTCTACTGGCTAATAAATGTGATGTGTCTGTCGAGTTTCATGCATTTTGAAGCATGCTAAGGGTCTCAAAAGCATCCTAAAAGCATCCTAAAAGAAGGGTAAAGTTTGATGCGTCGCCACGGCAACAGTTTCAAAGATATCAAGAATCCATTCACAGGTCTACATCTATCGTATGTTTACATTATACAGATGAAGTTTGAAGCAAATCGGGTAAAAATAAAAGGGTGATATCAAAGCATTTTGAAAGTGACACACTTCCTGCTGCCAGTTGGTGGCGCTATAACTTTGACTCACAATAGTCACATCCATGTGATCGTCCTCTTACAGCGAACACACTGCTGAAGTTTCATCAAGATCAGTTAATGTATGCTGAAGTTATAACACACTTCCTGTTTCACGTTTCTCGCCATGATTTCGTTTCCTCGCCACGGACAAACCGTTCGAGATATCAAAAATCCCCTCGCAAACTTTCATCCTCAATGTCTTGACTTCACGCTGACTGAGTTTTAGTCGAATTTGGATCAAAGCTCTAGGAGGAGTATTTGACATTCCATTGCGAGCGTTTTACAAACAAACCTCAATAGCCGACTTCCTGTTGAGCTGGGGTAAAAAGTAAGAGCGCGAGGTATAG